ATTACTTTTCTTTTATTTTCTGCTGTTCAAATAAGAGCTTAGCTTTGACTAGCTGCAGCAGTGAAGATTTTGTTGAGTTCAACACAAATATCCATTAGATGTCAGAAAATGTCATGGGTCATCCACTATTTGGAATCCAGAACACAGGGGGAAAAAACAACGAAAAATGTCAGCAATGAAATGTCAGGTTATGTACCTGCAATTTTCACTGTTCCATCGTGGGCCACTAGACAGTTTCTTGCTGCCAAATCCCGATGAACAATTTTTTTATCCGCCAAATAAGCCATACCATCTGCAATTTCTCCAGCCATCTGGTGTATCTGCACATTTGTGGGTGGAAAAAATTCTGGATAGTTCTGTAAATAGCAAAAACATTCAATAATTACTTCTGAGCAATTTTCATCTCATTAGAAAATAAAGCTAAAAAAAAAAAAAAGGCTAAATGGTAATAATGTTGCCAGAAATTATTATAATGCAATACATACATCAAGTAGAAAAAAATACTACGGAAATGGGCATATAAAGAGGGACCAAGGAATCTTTCATGCTGGGAGGGGGCAACAATATACATTGGGAAGACAACAATACTCACTAGGAGAGGGCAACAACATACACAATGGGAGAGAGCAACATACACAATGGGAGAGAGCAACATACACAATGGGAGAGAGCAACATACACAATGGGAGAGGGCAACATACACAATGGGAGAGGGCAAAATACACACTGGGAGGGTAACTTACACAATGGGAATGGGTGATGACAAATACTGGGAAAAGGTAAGAATATACAAAGAGACTGTAACAATAAACACTAGGAGAGGGCAACAATACACAGACAGAGAGAGTGGAATCTGCAAACCAGGACAGGAAAATAACAGCAAACAGAGAAATGGAACAGTATAGTTTGTTAACTCATTCAGTACCATGCAACCTACCATGTGTTTCTTGATTACAAATGACATAATATACTTTTGCTCAACTCCTGATGACAAATCTAGTCGTTACATTAACCCACTCTGCCCCAATTCTAAAACCCTTCAACCCTATAGTTTTTTTCTTCTTTGCTTTCACTGACTAAACTCTGTCAGAAAGTTCTGGCTGTCTGTCCTCTTCTGGACTTTTATCTTGTTTCAGAACTTGAGTTTTATGTGCACATTGGTTTTTACAGATCTGCCTCATTTGCATAAAGCAATGGTTAATAAAAAATAAAAATAAAAAATCAGGCAGACGCATTCGAACTTGGAAGGAAGCACCATTAATTAGTTGACTTGTATGAAACACTTATGTTGGCGATAGTGGGTCTATTTGCCCCCCCCCCCCCCTCCCCACACATTCACACACAAGGGGGCCCTAGAACCACACGAGGGATGCCCTATAGTGCTCATGTTGTATATCATCAGATCTAAACATTTGCCAGTCAAGGTAACAGCTTTGTAGAGCAGACTGATTTCAACTAACACCTGCTTGGTAGTGAAAGAGTCAACCTTGTCAGCCCATGGGTGCCGAGATCTCGGCATGCCAAGATACTTATGTCATAAGGTCTGTGGGCAGTGGTCACTGTGCCTGTATTACAACTGCATGGTGTGCAGGGTATATTTATATTTACTAAACAATCTGAGAGACAATATTTGGCGGTGGAAAAATTCCCTTTCATAAAGATGTCACTTTGGTCCGCTTGACTATCTCAACAACAACAAAAATTTTTTTTGGGTCAAAGGGAGTGAAAAAAATTATTGTTGTCTCTGTATTTAGTTATTACTTCCCTTAGTTTTAAAGCTGCCTACTTACTGTGTTTGTGGTTTAACAAAGCAATACACACAACAACAACAAATCAATTTAGCAGACTTGTCATTCTGCTTGGTGGTCACAGGTTTTATGCCCCTGGATTTTTTTATAACAACTGACCAAGACTGCAAATTTCTTCCGATTCCCTTTTTCTTTAGTTTCTTAGGGTAGAGTTTCAGAATATTACGAGGATGGGTTTCTTTCTACTATACTTTGGAAAAGTCATTTGAAAATATACTTACGTCCTTTTTAGGACATAATTTTTTGTTATTTGAAGCCCCACTCTGGCTTTTGCCAGGGGCTGCAATATAGGCAGGTCATAAATATGGCCAATTGCCTGAACGCGGTTTCTGGGACCTCTCCACGGTGATCCTCACCCACATGGTGGCCCTTTGTGTCATCGGGTGTTTATCGCTGGTGTGATGTTCTGGTGGGGTAGAAATTCCTTCATTCATTCAAAGTCATTTAAAAAATATTCTTAAGAGGGTTAAAAGAAACATGTTAACCTTTTTTATTATAAATAACAGCAATACTTACTTCTTCATCAGGCCTACACTTCCTTAAATAATTTCGCAGATCTCCAAGTGCCATAAGCTCCATAATGACAAGAGCAGGCTGTCCTCTGGAGACTACACCCTTCAGCTTGACAATATGATGACACTCAAAGACTCTGTGAGAACAATGTGTCAGTACTGAGTTATCTTGACACCGAATATCCATTAGGTACTGATAAGCTTAATGTCCACTTTCACCTTCTTTGAATTATATGTGTGTGTATTCAGAAAGAGACAGAGATACAGACCACTCATCTGTCATTTTTAAAAAATCGCATCAACATTGCAGAAGTCATTTTCAGGGTTCTTGGTGGAGTGCAATGCTTAGCCATTTAGCCCCCCCCCCCCCCCCCCCCCCCCCCCCACAAAGCACATATCTACTTATTTGTCGTTTGAATCTAATGTTCTGGTTTTCAGTAAATCTTATAGGAGACAACAAAATAGCATTCTGGAAAGAATGAATGTCTTTGCACCAGCCTCACTCTGTTAGATGCAAGTCCGGATATGTGAGCTCTGATGACCTGCGTGTGTGCGCGCGCTGTGCAATCTTTCCAGGTGATTTAAAAAAAATAGTTGGAATTCCAATTGTGACTCTGATTTTCAGGTCAACTGAGCCTAAAATAGTTATCATTTACAGTTCTCAGAAGTAAAGGTGGCTGGTGTGATGATGACCCCACCTTCTATTGGGTGCGCTGGTGTCAAGCATCATATGCCCAATACTTCCCGGGAGTGAAAAGGGTACTTGACATTTGTGTGTGTGTGTGTGTGTGTGTGGTGACCTCACTTAATCAAGCGATTCAGAAGACTACATCCCTTATGGAATTGAACCTATTTCAGTGTGTTAACACGCCATATCATCTAGACTAGTAAAGCTTCCTTCTTTCACTTCTTCACATAGCTCACCAGTTGTAAACTCCAGTGGAAATTCCTGGTTGTTCATCCACTTCTGAACTTTAGCTGTGTTCCAGGATTTACATATTCGCACATCCATTTAACAGATCTGGCTTATCTGTGTGTAGACTGTTGGTTCCTTATCTCTCAGGCAGATGCACTTAAAGACTTCTAAGGAAATATCGATCCTATCTATGTTCTTCCAGTAGGAAACCTGTTTCTAGAAGGACCAAGGAGAGATGTAAAAATGTCCTGACCAGTGTCAGCATTGGCTCTGGTGCCAGGAAGTGTGTGGACAAGCACTTCTGCATCCCATACACCTACAGATTACAGAGGCAACGAATGTTTTCTCTTCATGTTGCCCACACTCGAAGAAAACCTTTACCTTAAAGCAAAAAACTGAAAGCATCCAATAACATGACTTACTTCATTGTAGTGGCTTCCTTCAGAATTTTGAGTCTTTCGTGGAAGTCTGCTTTATCATTAACAGTCTGGAAAACAAACAAACAGCCACACAGCTAAACATTCATTTTTTGTTTATAAAAACAAGACAGTTCTTAATTATAGCATTTTTTTTATGGAGGTGGAGGGGTTTAGCAACTTATCAATATTAAGTATATCCACAGTGTTGGCATTTGTGGCTTAGGCGTTGCAAATACACTTTGTAAATCTGGGTTGCCATTGGCTGGATCCCAGCTGCAGGCGTTTGGCAGCAGACAGCCTCACATTGCTTTTGACAGTAGCATCAAGAGTCCATTGTTTAGAAAGTCATAACAAACTACTGAAAAATCACAAACAGAAAAACAACAAAACATGCTAGGGTTGGTTCTGCAACATCCTGTAAAAGATACACAGCTAGTAAGGGCACAGATGTACTCACAAGTGATAAGAAGCAGAATCATTAGCACCCTGAACAATATAACAAAACGTCAAGTGTGGGACAGAAACAATGAATCAGAGTGTACACAGAATCACAAAACTATGACAGATGACAGGAAGAAGAAGTCAGAAGAATAATCCACAGATGAAACTAAAATCTGAAAGGCGTGTGTCAACAAAAATCTGTATAGCAAAAGAGACAATAAATTTTGTTTGGGGTAACAAGATTTAAGCCTCAGAAATGAGGATGACAGTAAAATGTCCTAATGCTTAATTTCTGTTGCCCAAAATGAAATTAAGTATGCATCATGACAATGAATTTACACAATAATTAAAAAAAAACACACAAAAAACGACACATTCATGCAAGCGTATGCATACATGAGCATGTACACACATTCTCTCTCTCCAATATACGTTCCTCTCAATTCCCATCAGTATGAAATAGTTGTGTGTACTTGAATTAATTTGCTGCCAGCAAACATTATATAACCAAGATGATTTAACAAGGAAAACATTTATTATACTGTAATTTAACATCTTTGTAAAGTTAAGAGACACACTGAAGAAGTTTAATGTAAAGCCACTCAGGCAAAAGCAGCATTTTACTGAATAACGAATATTCTATGCAATCTATCTTTGTCAATTGTGGTAGAGTCAATTCTAATGTATGCAAGAAGAAGAATGATAAATGAGAACATTTATAAAGACAAGTTAAAAGAGGCACTCTTTCACACCTTCAGACATACTAGGCATATAGGCTAAGACCTATATTTCATAGACCAATTCGCACTTTCGAAGGAAAAAAAAAGTCAAAAAAAATTAAACTAAGTGGGGTAGAGAACAACACAACAGAACTAAAAACATATGGATAGCAAATAATGATAACCTTGATGGCTACAGGAACGGAGACTTTTGTTTCAGGATCCTCCATAAGTCCCTCAAACACAGTTCCAAATGAGCCCTGGCCCATCTCTTTAATCAGACGGATACTGTCTCTAGGGACCTCCCACTCATCTGGTGCATACACTGACGGAAAAGAAACAAACAAAATACAGTCAAACTATGGCAAAGAATCCTGTTGAACTGGAAGCACAGCTTTAAAATTAACTATGTTTGTCACACACTCATCGGTGTACAGTGAAGGGTGGGGGAGAGGGATGATAAAGAGTGGGAGACACACTTAGGGTAGGAAAAGAAAGAAAGAGAAAAACCAGAGACACAAAGGTGAAAAGTGGGAAGCAGAGATGCAGAAAAGGAGAAGCAGAAAACAGAAGAGGAGGGAAAAAGAGAAGGATCAATGACAGAACAAGAGAGGGAAAAAAAAAGAGATAGAGGGAAACACTGTGAAAGAGGGAAGAAGAAAGACAAGATATATATAAAGAGTACAAATGATGCAGAAAACGCTCCAATCTAAAGCAAAGCAAAACAATTACAATTACCACTACATCCAACAGGTAAGCCCACAATGTCACAAAACTGAGCTCATAAAGAGGTATGTCCACTGTAAAAGTCAGGTTATAAGTGGCACAAAGAAGAACAGTATAACTGACAGCAAGCAATGTCGGCTTTACATAAAGCCATCACAATACTGCAAGGATCATGGGTAATGCTGATAAATAAAGAATTATTTGGACAATGAAACCCAAGTCAAAAAAGGCAACAGAACAGGCACATTGTCTGCACATTCATGGTACAAGACACTTGCAGACAGTTTCATTGAGTTACAAATAACAGAGAACATTTCCATAGACATTTTATAAATGTGTCCAAATAACAGTGAGCCAGTGAATGACAATCCCACCCTTCTATAAGTGTTGAGCCCTTTTCATCACTCCAGATGACATTGTTATACTGTGTTTTAGGGAGGCATAGGATCACAGCCCACGGTGACCTCCTCTTCACAGCACCGAACTGGACAGTATCGTAGAGACTATGTATTGCCCGCTTGCTTTGTTTACTACAAAGGAAAAGTAACACCAAGGTGCTTAGAATAAAATATGTTGCAGAATAAGAAGAGCAATGCTCAGTCTGCTTGTGGCAGCATCGCTCCTAGACCAGCAGTAAACAAAGGCTAAGGATCTTGTATATACATATACGAACATACAAACCACTCACATTGTTCAGTCGGTATGTAATGTGGGTTCTGAGAGACAACGACATCTGCCTTGATGTACCTAGTAGCAAGAAGATTTAGATAGAAATAATACAAGGCTAAATAAAATGATTTAAATCAATGATGTTCTCTTATGCAATGAAAAGACACTTAACAATTCTGATGCTTAACAAAAATAATGTCACTTTGTGTGCCTGTTATATACAACTATACATGAAGTTTCAGTGAAACTCATTCATTCATTCTTTATCCAGTTGTGCATTAAATGTTCTAACAAAGGAGATCAAATGCAACCCTGTTTAACTCCAGTAGTAACTCAAAACTAATCGCTTAAAGCATCGTATTTTCGCACTGCACACTTTGAACCTTCAAATACTGCCTAAATAATATTTATTACTTTCACTGGTATACCATAACAATCCAAAATGCCCCTTATGGATATTCTATGTAAGCTATCAAAAGCCTTCTCAATGTCAATGAAATTGAAAGTAAGGGGTTGTTGTTTTTGTCCAGGCTGAAATACTGCTTGTGTGTATGACTACATTATCTGCTGCCTTGAGCATTTCTGCAGTAACATCACCATTACCTGCATCCTTACTGTTTGCAAATGAATTGATTGCCTCCCTGATTTCCATGTCATTTATCTGTCCTGCACAAAACTGCCGGTTTTATTCTCATGTAATATATTGACAGATAAAAATGCACAGATTTGCAGCAACTGGCAGTCACTGTGGTAATTCAAAAAGCAAAATGATGAACATACAGTGCCTGTAATGAGCATGAGGACTGATGCGCTCACTCCACAACTGATGCACTCCATACAGATATGATAGTGTGTTTAATGGATTCACTTCAACTGTGCTACTAAAATGTGTACTAAAAGTGACGTGTGACAGATGGGAGTCAAAATGTCCAACTGTTGCATCAGGGAATGTGAGTTCAATTCCTGTATAGGTCACAAGGGTTGGGGTTAATGACTTCTTGAACAACTAGACTTTACTCTTCATCAAGAAGGTACAAGGGAGAGACAGAGGAATAAAGGTGGAGAGAAATTTTATGAGAGAGAAACAGGAGAGAGACAGACTACAAGGAAAAATGAGAGGCGTAAATAGAGGTATAATGGCAGAGGGGTAAGGAGGAAAAAAAATGAATGACAGGAAGAGATGGACCACAGAAGAAGGACACACATACAACAACAAGGTGAGACAAGACTCTGGGGAAGGATAGAAAAAGAGGGGGGGGGGGGGAAGCATAGATAGATGGCAGAGTGGAGAATAAAAAAGAGAGGAAGAGGGGAACAGAGAGGAAAGAGGCAGAGGGAGGGATAAAGAGAGAGGGATAGCAAGAGGAAAACTAAGAGGGAGGAACAAACAAACTTTATTTTCAAAGGGTTAAGAATTTGGCACGCAGGCCTAACATTCTGACAGAAAGAGACAAAGGCAGAGAAGGAGACAGAAAGTGAGATAAAGAGACAGGGAGACATACATCCAAGAGCAGGTTACAAGGTGACTCACCTCTGCTTATAGACATAGTAGATGATGACACCAAACACAGTGAGAAAGGAGATAACCAGGCCAGCACTGATGCCAATAATCGTACTAATACTGCTGTCTTCCTCTCTCCCTGGGTAACCAAAACAATTTCCCAGAAATGAGTATTTCAATTAATGTCACAAAATGAAATCTGCAATGAACAACAATAAAAACTCTGTGGTGTGTTTACTCTAGGTGACTAGGCTTTTTACCATCTATAATTAATATAGAAATTGCATCAAGTTCAATGAATAAATCAGCTGCCATCTCCACAATAAAGGTTGGCAGCAACAGATCTACAACAATATATGTCTCTCTTCCTGGTTGTACATGCTCCTAAGCTGCTTGTTCATCCTATCTTGTTGTTACCCTCCCTTGTTTATCACTGTCTACCCTTAGTTCACTTCTCTTCAACTTTTCCCTCCAGTACGGTTTTTATAACAGCTTGACAGAGACATAAGTTGTTTGAGCTAATTTGCAGGATTACCAGATTGTTATTTATAGAAGTGAAACAACGAGGACAAGAACAGCATATTTCCTGGCAGGTTTTGCTGTGTCTCACCAGGTGCACCAGTACAGTTGACGTCAACATAAAACACAAATCCCTTCCACCGACCTAACCAACAAAAAATACAAAATTGTGCTTCTACTAAAAAAGTATATAAAGGACCCTTTTCCTTCAGGCGTACTGAGCATATGGTGCCAGACTGATATTTCATAAACCAAAAGTCTCTCAATGGGTTATGTGGTCAATATCATGCCAGCCATCTTTGATTCCCAGGACTTTCCCTTTTAAGACTGAGACAACCTGGAAGCCAAGGTCATTATGAAAACAAAATTGGCTCTGTTGGGATTAAAACCCATGACATTCAGATCCACAGGTGAGCGTCTAGCAGCTAGGCTGAAGCAATTTATTGTTGGTGTCCTCAATATTATAATTCCTAACAGGGAAAACACTTTTGAATTTCTTAAGCATAAAGAATATTCATGAAGTTTCAGTATGATTTTCAACAATCCTATAGGATTGATGATGGAAAGAGAGATAGACAAAGACAACACAAGAAAATTCTAGACAGTCTTTTGTCAAGGAATGAAAGGGTGGCAGCACATGAGCTGATGAATGCTGATGGAGATTGCAGGTTGTGGTAAAGAGGCACCCCTGACCCCCATGCCAGTCGGCCAGTCGGCAAGGCACTTTATGATGATAATAACCCCCCTCCCCCAAAGGTGCTACAGGGACAGTTTTAACACCGTCACCAAAGAAATAGTTAAAGAGTTTAAATGATGGGTTAACAACCTTTTTTAAGGGTGAACACAGAAGAAGAATGAGAAGAGGAGGAGAAGAAGGACACTGCAATGATATTAAAGAAGAATTCACTTGGCATCTTACCTGGATGAAACAAAACACTGAAGAACAACTCCGGAGTGGATGTCCCATTGCCTGCCAGCGAATGTGCACTGATCTGTAAAGAGTAGTTGCCAGGTGCCAGTCCCATCAGAAGGTAGCCATTGCTGTTATTCTGGAACTGTCTGGCAGTCACACAAAAGGTTACCTGGCAAAAAAAAACACCAAAAACATACAACTAAGCACAAAAAATATAAATTAAAAAAAAAGTAACAGAAGATTTATCTGTTATATAACTTTCTTCCCTGTTCTTACGGGTAACAACTTAATTTAACTCCTAACAAAGACTTACGTACCATGGAATGAATTCTCTCAACTCTGTTGTAAGTTTTCTCAGTAAGATGCTACTGCCTTTATAAAACTAAGCTTGTTGTTTTTAAAACATAATAATTATAGTGGCTTCCTTGGGGTGGGGGCAGTAGCATAGGAAAAAAAAGAGGGGGAGGGGGGTACAGGCTGCCCTGTGTGTCATCACTGAGAGGGTGTCAAAACTTAAAAAAAAAATGTTTTATATACACAAATTCATATATATACACACACATATATATATAGACAGACAGACAGACAGACAGACAGACGCACGCACACACACACACACACACACACACACACACACATACATACATACATACATACATACATACATACATACACACATACGCTCACGGGCGCCCACTATTCAACAAAGTTTTTACCCTGGAACTAAGATCTTGAAAATGGAAATCATAACGCGCTAAAGGGTCATTAATACAATACACATAGAAAGATCATTAATACAATCAGCAATCATCCAGGGGTCACTTGCCATGATCCTGCGGGCTGCATTCATGCCACCAGTTGAATAGCTATGAGCCAGACACTTGCTGACCAAAAAGTCTTGGGTTCAGTTCATACTGAAGCACATAAAAAATTTTTTTTTTTACTTGTGCCAGAAAATGTCCTTGGTAATAAAAAGCTTCCAGAATAGTGCTTACTACATCATCCATTAAGAGTTTATTGGTCTATAAAAATATGGGATCACTAAGGATTGCAGCTAGGAATGAGTGGAAAGCTTGACTCGTCAATATATGGATGCTTCTCTGAGTCAGCCCAGTACCGCAGCACCACATATACACTCCACATTTTTGGAAGCCTCCCTGGATGCAAGGAATGTCTCGTTCTGCCCCCGCTTCCTGTGAGGGCTGACCAGGCAGCTGCCCTGGATAGATTCTCTAAGGAGGGTTCACCTGTCAACAAATGCCTGAACACGTCAGGATGTACTGGCCATAAGGCACAAACATCACAGCTATGCTATAAACAGGTACAATGCAATTAGGTCACTCTGGCGAACGATGATAAAGAAGAGATAGTTTAGTAGGTATCAAGGTCAGTGAACCTGTGAAATCATTTCCCTCATGAGTCCTTTGATGGACACTTTCATCCATGCACTGGGGTTAGGGTGATGAGTCATAGGTTTTTCTTCTTCCAGACAATGAACCTCTTGGGGCCACCAACCAACTTTAAGATCCTCTGCCAGGTTAGTTTAGGTCAATACTGGCCATTATCTGTGGTGCAAGATGGAGATGTGCGGCAGGAGTTTTGCATGAGTTTCCATGAAACAAGCATACCCAGCCTGAGGTGAGGTATGGGGTATCCCCATACACCCAGCAGAACAGCCTAAGCTTTCCCTAATGCTTGTCACTGAAGTCCCCATGCCACAGGTCCTATTCAGTAACCAAGTGGTAATACGGCCAGAATGGTCAAATCATCTTTCCTTTCCAGGTACATTTCTAAGAACCATCTGATCAGGTTGGCCCTAGAGTTCAGGTTTCTAGCGTTAGTAGACAAATATTACAGCAGAGTTAACAACAACAAGAATACTTACACGCCTGCCTGTGGTGACACTCTTGCATGCAATAAAGTATTTTAGAATGAGCCCATTTGGCATGGGTGGTGGTTCCCACCTGACGAGTACAGCGCCAGTCTTGTTGACAACCGGTTCGATGACCACAAGTGAGCTGTTGAGACTGTTGGCTAGAGCTGAAAGACAGAGACAGCATGTTGCCTTTATGAGTTATCAAGCATAAAACTATGACTAGAAAGCTTAGCGCATGGAATGAAACATAATAAAAAAAAAAAGGCGTACAACTGAGAGTTTCAGCTGTACTTCTGAGCATCCTTTCCTTTCCTTCCACAGAGGTTTCTAGCCATGGCTTGTGTAGTGTTTGTTAACTGGACTGAACTGGGGTAATTTCTTATTTATGTCTACATAACTGACATAGCCTGGCAAAATGTTACTAGATAGGTGCACTTACTCGTAAGATTTAGGAACCCTGCATGTCTATAATCATCATGTTAAACACATCACTTTGTTTATGTGTAAACAGAGTGAACATTGAGAAACATGCACAAATCTGGGCATGTTTCATAACATCTATAATTGAAAAGAATCCACAACGGTATAGTTGTCGGTGCATTTGTCTGCCATGTTCAACCCAGTGTTCAAATACCAACAGAGGCAGGATTATTTTTTTTCTGACCAGTATAGCTATAGAACCAATCCAGCCTCTTTAACATGTGTACCCGATCACCTTCCAAATTTTCTAGGAAATAAAGACTATGAGGAAAGGAACAAGCCATTCAAACTTGTATCGCCCAGAACGGTGGTTTTCAACTTTTATCAGGTGCCACCCCCCCCCACCCCCCCCAAAAAAAAAAATTTGATTAAAATAGAAAGGGCAGATGTGCAAACTGCTCATGAAAACAGAAATATCTTTACAAACAGTGTTACAAATATTTTATTTATAGTTAAAATGAAAAAAAAACCAGATGATTACAAGTACAAATGCACTCTATTTTAAAATTGCTTGAAGCTCCCTTGAAACATCCTTGCACCCCCTAGATTGAAAACCAACGGCCTAGAATATGGCAGTACTTGCAATGTGACTATCTTTATTAAAAATTAGCAAAACAAGCAGAAAGTTGGTCTGCACATTTCTAAAGGAAACAGTAAATAGTATCACACATTTATAAAGAAAACAGTAGGTACAGTTACAGGTTTCCATAAGATACAGGTCATAGATTAATACTGCTATTTTTCCAAAAGAAATAGGACATGATGTTTACGTTGAGAGGATTGACTTCATTGCACTGGGGTTCATCCCATATGGCTTGTGAGACATTCCCAAAAGAAACAGGCAGTAGTTTAAAAATGACTGTGTAAGAAGAAAAGCACTTTGCATCCTAGCACCACATGCTATTCAGGAAGAACGGCAATAGGCTTAAAAGGGGACAAATCATGGCTGGATAGGGCAGAGGATGACATCATGCAGGTTTACAGATATACATCCAGGTGAGGAATAGATACCAGCATCTAAAGCGCCTAATCTCACATTCTCCTGTGTTGTGACGCTCGATAGGAGCTGTCAGGAGCAGAATCCTGTTGCTGTCAATGCCGAGGTCTACTCACTTATTACTGACAAATCAGATGAGACAGGGGTGCTGGTCTACACCGACCGGTCCATTATACGAGGACATAAAAGTGCATGGGCATTTACAGCCCGCTCTTCAGGCAGAACAGTCTCCATGACTACCAGCAGCGTGACCATGGAGGTGATGGCGGTGACACAAGCTTTCCTGTGGCTAGAATTACAGGACTATTCCAGTGCGAGTGTGTAGTGTGATTCTATGATCCTGACCCTGCGGGTCGAGGGAGCTTCATACCCAGACAGTGGATTGAGTCATTGCAAAACTCTCCTGTGTGTGCATATTCATATTTGTCCAAGGGCATGCAGACGCTGACAATGAAAGAGCTGATAGACTGGCAGGTTCCGCATTAATTGCAGATGGCTGGCCCATGGATCACGCAGACATTGTCAATGCTCTTAGAGAGATAGGACGTTCCGAGGATTTTAGAAGCAACGTGCCCACATCACTGCTAAGAATACGAGAATTGGGAGTAAAGATTGCCACAGCCAAGCTTGAGAAACACACAGGAAGCACACAAAGTCTTATGAACCAGCACACGACTGGCACTACTAACTACGTGACACCGATGAACATGTTGAAGGGAGAATCTAAGCACCTCTGGATGTGCCTGGAGTGCTGTGAAGATAATCCAACTCATTACTCATAACTTATGTAAGAAGATGTCACTTACGGTCTGCAGCTGTCTGCCCTGTGACGATGGCACTTTCGCCACAGAGTTTGACTCCTGTCACAGGATTTGTTTCATGGCACGCAACAACCTGTCCAGCAGAACATGGCAAACAAGATCAGTAAACAAATATGATGAACAAGTGCTTTTTGAACAATAAAAATTTTAGTTTTTCTTCTTTGTGTCTTTTCTTGCCTCGGGTATCAAGGGGGACATCAAGTTCTGCTTTGTTCTCTATAGACATGTAATGCTGTTGTAGAAATTCTCTGATATTATCTTTCTTCTTGTTTTTGGTCCACGGCTTGCTGTACATTCTTTTTCTTTTTTAGTGTATGCTGTCACTTGGCATTCTCTCTTAGAGGACAAATCATTTTATTTGCCGGTTGTGTATATAGTTTATCACTGGTTCTGTAGCAACTGTATTATCTTGTACACTCAAGTCTAAAAAAGCATTCAGCACAATGAGTTGTGGTTTATAACTAGGCTGCTGTATCCATGTCTTTCAACCCAACACATCTAATTTCAGTAATCCCCTAATTAGCTGTCTTTTACAAAATGTTCGTTAGGGCCAATAGGTCTGTGTTTTCTCCCAACATGGGGCCCTAGAACTCTTGCAGGAAAAGAAAGTGGTAAGTAACAATAGCGCTGTACACACACATTCTGACATTTATTAGATATATGCTGTTGGCATTCGATGAGTGATATGGTCTATATCACTTTGACACCGCCTTTACTTCCCAGGAGATTTACAGGTATCTATTTTAGTGTAAATTTTTCCTGGCAGCTCAAATACCTCAAGCGGTGGGGGATCCATGCCCCAAATGGGAATATATAGCTTCTGGGCTCGCAAGCCACTGTGCCAACAACTGCTACTGTAGTTTTCTATTCTGTACCTATGGTTTTAAAAAAAGAAAGAAAGAAAGAAATGAAAAGAAAAGACAAACAGACACATTTCCAAATCTTGCGACCAAATGAATTGCTACAACATCATCATTGTCCTGTGCTTCCATTATGGCACATGGGGATTAGGCTAATGGTCTATTACTCCATCATTCCGCTCTATCTTTGCAATCAATGTTTATATCGTAGCTGGAATCCAGTCCAACACTTTGCCCCTCTCATCTACATATGAGAGTTTCCTCTGGGCATCCTCACTTCCTAAATCTATTATATTTCCCATTTCAGTACCTCTTTTGTGATTCTTTGTTTGTTTCTTCTCAGGGTGCGTCCAATATAGCGCCATCTTCTTTGTCTTAAAACTATTATTGCAAACTGTTTGCCCAGACATTTCTCTTAGTTTTTTTTCACTCCTCTTGAATTCATCCCATTTTACATTCATCATTTTCCTCAGGCATTTGTTTCCAAATGCATTTAACTTTCATGCCATGTCTTTAGGGGTTCTCCAACTGTCCATACTTTGTTCAAGCTTTCAAAAACGGCCGATGATTTGCCAAGGTGCATCAGTGCCATTACTTTTTCTTTGTGCTCCTTGACGATCAAGATTGCTACATAAATATGTATTCTGATCTGTTGCTTTAGCAAAGCAATAATTTAAACTATCATCCATTCGAACTGCACACGCTGAGCCTTTATACACAGCTTAAATTTTTTTGTTTACAGTGTACCAGAGCATTTAAAAAAATCCCAGTAGTGATGTTCTGTGTAAACTATCAAAATCCTTCATAAAGTCAATGAAATTCAAAATTAGGGTTGTTTTTTCCCCACAAATTCCTCTACAAGGCTATTGAACTGACAGCCTGCGGGGAAAATCTGGCCCGCCAAGGCATAGCAAGTGGCTCGCGGATCACTTCTAACTGTATTGTATTTTTGATCTTTCTTTGTAGGGCTGAGGCCTCTGGCCTGTGACGATCCCAGTTTTAAATATTTTGACCCCTGAGCCAACTTAGTTCAATAGCCCTGCTCTACAACAAGTCTCGAGGTAATAATTTCTTCCAGGCTGAAAACCTGCTTGTTTCTCACTCAGGATTGTGTCCACTACCTATTTAATTTTTATAGAGAATTATTTTTAAAACATCTAGGACATTTCTGACATGAGAGTAATTGCTCTCCAGTTGTTTCAGCTCTATAAGACTGCCCTCACCCCCAACCCTCCTTTTTTTTAAATTAATAAAATTATTCCTTTCCTCCAAATGATTTAGGATTGTGCCCCCTCTGTTCGTATTCTATTAAAGAAATCTTTCGCTTGGTTTATGGTCACATGATCTGCTACCGTGAGCATTTCTGCAGTTATGAGTTGGATTATCTTCACAGCACTCCGGACACATCCATAGGCGCTCAGATTCCTCTCTCAACATATTCATCAGCATCACAAGGTTAATAGCGCCAGTCCTATGCTGGTTAACAAGATTTCGTGTGCGTCCGGTGTGCTTCTCATGCTTGGCTGTGCTGATCTTGACTCCTAATTCTTGTATTCTTAGCAGTGATGTGGACACTTTGCTTCCAAAATCCTCAGAACGTCCTATCTCTCTAAGGGCAATGACAATGTGGATGGCCATGTTCAATTAATGCAGCACCTGGCAGTCTATCAGCTCTTTCATTGCCAACAACGCCTGCATGCCCTGGGACGAATATGAAGATAAATGCACACACAGGAGAGTTTTGCAATGACAAACCACTGTCTGCAAAACCCGCCTGCCTCGACCCGTCGGATCACGCTCAAAGAATCACTCAGCACACACACACAGGAATAGTCCTGTGATTCTAGCCACAAGAAAGCTTGTGTAAACCGCCATCACCTCCATCGTCATACTGCTGGTAGGGCATGCAGGCGTTGGCAATAAAAGAGCTGACAGACGGGCAGGGCCGCATTAATTGCAGACGGCCGGCCCATGGATCACATAGATGTTGTCAATGCTTTTAGAGAGATCGGACGTTCTGAGACACACACATATCCAGATCCGATCATAATGGTCGCTAAGCATGGTCACTGTTTGGAGCCGTCGCAAATATTTTTTATCTGCCAGACGGTGGCTGTCACATTTTTGCTCCATTTGTAGACTCAAAGGAGGAGTGCATGGCGTGACACTCTGAGCTCCGGATTTCATTTAGAATGTTTTTCTACTGTAACCAACGTGGTGGTGTGAATTGTAGATTTAAGAAAATGGCGCAAAGCCTGTTGTCGCAATATTGGTGGTGCCATTATGTGATTAAAATTGATCGCGTGTGCAACTGCTGATCTGTTGGTGACTTCTGCTACCATCCATGATGAAATACATTTCTAATGTCGGACTGTTTGGGTTAGCACTTCAGATGGCTAACGTATGCTTTTAATGTGTGTGTATGCTAGTCCATATGCTGGGACAACAGTCTGTCAATCTTTCCACAAAAGACTACTGTGATGAACAACACTCTGTGTGTTTTTCGTTGGCAAAGGAGCGGAGCAACTATGGGGTGACCCGTTTGCTATGAAGCTGAAACTAAGATTACCAGACATGGAGAAGGCACCGCTGGCTTCTCAAACTGTTCTGCCTGAAGAGCAAACTGTTAATGCCCAAGCATTATTATGTCCTTGTATAAAGGACTCATCTGTGAAGATCACCACATCTGTCTTATCTGACTTCTGCAGCAAAATCATCATCACCTGCTGTCTTATTGTTTGCAAATGAATGGACTGCTTACTTGATTTCCACGTTACTTATCTGTCCCATATTTATTGGCAATATGGCTTCATTAAAATTCACTGGTTTTCATGGACTAGATCAGAGTTATTCAAGTGGCAGCCAATGGGTCAAATCTGGCCTGCGTAGACCTAGCAAGCAGTTTACCGATCGTTGCCAAAACAGTCAAATGAAGCTATACAATTTTTTTTTCCAGCAATCAAGGTTTCTGTATACATTTTCAAGAACCAGTTGTGAAGAATGTGTCAACAGGAAATGTTTGTCAGGAATCTGTAAATGTGGAGACACAAGGAAACCAGTGCAAAAACAGAAAATACAACAATTGCGGTATATGTCTCATGCATGCAGCCATCTCTAAGAATGCGGAACTATGAGAGAGCTGTCTACAAGAACGTGGACCTCTGAGAGAGCTGTCTACAAAAACACGGACCTCCAAGGGAGCTCTCTACAAGAACGTGGACCTCTGAGAGAGCTGTCTACAAAAACACGGACCTCCAAGAGAGCTGTCTACAAGAACATGGACCTCTGAGAGAGCTGTCTACAAAAACACAGACCTCCGAGAGAGCTCTCTACAAGAACAAAGACCTCCGTGAGAGATGTCTACAAGAACACGGACCTCCGAGAGAGCTCTCTACAAAAACAAAGACCTCCGGGAGAGCTGTCCACAAGAACACGGACCTCTGAGAGAGCTCTCTACAAGAACAAAGACCTCCGGGAGAGATGTCTACAAGATTGGGAACCTCTGCGAAAGCTGTTTACAAGAGCGCGAACCTTCGGGAAAGCTGTCTACAAAAACGCGGTTTATTAAAGTTACATATTGAAAATGTTGTCAACTGTATTGTGTTATTAATCTTTCCACACTTGGGCCACTGGCTCCTGACGATCCCCCTTTTCAACATTTTGACCTGCGAGCAAACTTAGTTAAAAAACCCTGGACTAGATCTTTTTAAAATCACTTGGAAGCATTCTGCCTATCTTTCTTCTGCTCAGTTTTAGATGCACCATTCTTAATTCAATGGGAACACCTCCAAGTGTGAAAGTACTAGTTAACTGTTTTAGGGTTTTATAGTTTATTTTTTTTCTATTTGCACAGTTAGCTGCCTGTTGTCCTTTAGCTAGCTAGCCTGTCATACTATGCTCTTGTCTCACCTTGCACAGCTTTTAATCTGTTGATATTTCTGCTATCTTCCTTGGCCAGGATTTCTTGCTCTATTGATTTAGCACAGAAAATAGCAAGCTTCTTTCATGAATACACTGAGTTGTCTCATCACTTATCCAAGGTTTTCTATTACACTTCTTTAGTCCTGCACTAATTGTTGCTGCTTCTAAAATGGTGGCCTTCACATAATTCCATTAGTCTTCAATGCTCCGATCTCACTTTCCCCTCCCCACTTTAAGTGCCTCAAATGTATTTTTCAGCTGAAGCTGTAACAGTTCAAGTTCTCTTATATTTTTTCATTGTGAAATTTCTGACTATCTATTCTTTGCTGCATACGTTTTTATGCAGCTGTTTCTAATTCAAGCTCGAGTTTTTCCCACACATAGGATGTGATCACTGCCCACTCTGCTCTTCTATTGGTTTGGTTGTTCTATAAATGAGAGGAGAGGTGGCCAAGAAGTTACACCGGGCTCTCATGCAGGAGACATGGATTCGAACCCCAGTAAGGTGATGGTTTTTTTTCCTGTTAGAGGCAAAATTAAATCGTGGCGACAGCACTAGCCATGCGGCCCTAAATCCTCAGGCTCACGACCCCCCTGTCTACACTGCCCTAAAAGGTAGATACAGAGAGTAGTGAGTTTTTTTTTTTTTTTTTAAATACAGAAGTGGTGTATCTGATTTTTAGTCATGCCATCTAGTAAATGCCAAGTTAATTAGTGAATTTCCGGATGTGCCCCCGATGATCAGATCTGAATAGATACAGAATTCAGCCAGCCATTCTCCATTTTCATTCACTGTGTTAACTCTTTCCATTCCCACAGCTTTCTCAACATCTACATTTTCAATGTCTACTTTTGCGTTAAAATCTCCCATTACTACTACAGCAGTTTTATTTACTTCCTGCTACAGTTGGTCATAAAAATATATCTTTATCCTCAGATTCTGTATTTTTTGTAAGGGCATAATGTTGAATATTATTTTCAACATGTCTAGTATTAAATCAAGCTTTAATCATTTTTACTTTAAAGGTTTCTATTCTATCAGACATTTTGCAACTACTGATGACATCATTAGTGCTACTCCTTCCATGTGTTTTCTATTTGATCTCCAAAGCATGCCAGGGTATGCCCACTAACCTCTCTTTTACATGCTACTGGCCAGATTTATTTAACCTCAAAATATCTAATCAGTATTTCTTAATTGTGTTCTGCTACCTGGGCAGATTTTGTTGCCTGCGCCATAGTCTAACATAATAAACACTCATTCTAGAGAGCAGTTTTGAGCCAATCTGTTTGCCTATTTGGCCAATGATCTGGGCAGAGCCTGTCTGAAATATAAACATCATTTTAACTATAATATTTAGTGAATGAAATACACTGACTATTTTAACCATAATTTTTAGTGTGTGGAAAACACAGACCGTTGTGATCACAACGTCTGGACATGGTATACATTTGCTGCATTAAAAATGTAAAATTATTTTGTATGCCAAAAAGAAAACCAATGACTCACTTACCTCAATGTTGTAAGAGAGAAAGTGTTCCAAATTTGAAAGCGTGACCACTGTGTCGTAAACAATTACTTCCTGCCTCAAATTAGGAAGTGAGGGCTCGGGTTCAATCATGCTAGAGTTTGTGACATTTCCATCTTTGTTGGCCAAAGGAAAGTTATTTTTGTCAGGCTCCTTCTTATAATGAAAAATTATGGGATCATTAAAGTTCAGACCACTGCTGGAATTGTTGGTTAAATTACGTCGCCGCCTTGTAGTTTTTGGTTGAATTATAGAAGTAAATGTAAGGCCGATAGCGCAATCTTTACTGTAATGAAAGAAAAAAATAAAAACATTAAATTTTATTAGATGATCACAAAGAAGCTTCCAGATGAACTACTTTCATATACAACAAATATTTCATATCCAGTCCCACTGTGTTGAGGGTCAGAGTTTACATTCAGATTTGGACACTGACATTCAGATTCGGATACTGTGACATATGTATGTGTGTTCAATGATCACATCAACTGCAACCATGTCAACAGTTAGCACATCAACTGCAACCGTGTCAACAGTTAGCACATCAACTGCAACCATGTCAACAGTTAGCACATCAACTGCGACCATGTCAACAGCACATTAACTGCGACCATGTCAACAGTTAGCACATCAACTGCAACAATGTCAACAGTTAGCATATCAACTGCAACCATGTCAACAGTTAGCACTTCAACTGCGACCATGTCAACAGTTAGCACATCAACTGCGACCATGTCAACAGTAAGCACATCAACTGCGACCATGTCAACAGCAAGCACATCAACTGCAACCATGTCAACAGTTAGCACATCAACTGCGACCATGTCAACAGTTAGAACATCAACTGCGACCATGTCAACAGTTAGCACATCAACTGCGACCATGTCAACAGTTAGCACATCAACTGCGACCAAGTCAACAGTTAGAACATCAACTGCAACCATGTCAACAGTTAGCACATCAACTGCGACCATGTCAACAGTTAGCACATCAACTGCGACCATGTCAACAGTTAGCACATCAACTGCGACCATGTCAACAGTTAGCACATCAACTGCGACCATGTCAACAGTTAGAACATCAACTGCGACCATGTCAACAGTTAGCACATCAACTGCGACCATGTCATCAGTTAGCACATCAACTGCGACCATGTCAACAGTTAGAACATCAACTGCAACCATGTCAACAGTTAGCACATCAACTGCGACCATGTCAACAGTTAGCATATCAACTGCGACCATGTCAACAGTTAGCACATCAACTGCAACCATGTCAACAGTTAGCACATCAACTGCAACCATGTCAACAGTTAGCACATCAACTGCGACCATGTTAACAGTTAGCACATCAACTGCGACCATGTCAACAGCACATTAACTGCGACCATGTCAACAGTTAGAACATCAACTGCGACCATGTCAACAGTTAGCACATCAACTGCGACCAAGTCAACAGTTAGAACATCAACTGCGACCATGTCAACAGTTAGCACATCAACTGCGACCATGTCAACAGTTAGCACATCAACTGCGACCATGTCAACAGTTAGCACATCAACTGCGACCATGTCAACAGTTAGAACATCAACTGCGACCATGTCAACAGTTAGAACATCAACTGCGACCATGTCAACAGTTAGCACATCAACTGCGACCATGTCAACAGTTAGCACATCAACTGCGACCATGTCAACAGTTAGAACATCAACTGCGACCATGTCAACAGTTAGCACATCAACTGCAACCATGTCAACAGTTAGCACATCAACTGCGACCATGTCAACAGTTAGCATATCAACTGTGACCATGTCAACAGTTAGCACATCAACTGCGACCATGTCAACAGTTAGCACATCAACTGCGACCATGTCAACAGTTAGCACATCAACTGCGACCATGTCAACAGTTAGCACATCAACTGCGATCATGTCAACAGTTAGCACATCAACTGCGACCATGTCAACAGTTAGCACATCAACTGCGACCATGTCAACAGTTAGCACATCAACTGCGACCATGTCAACAGTTAGCACATCAACTGCGACCATGTCAACAGTTAGCACATCAACTGCGACCATGTCAACAGTTAGCACATCAACTGCGACCATGTCAACAGTTAGCACATCAACTGCGACCATGTCAACAGTTAGCACATCAACTGCGACCATGTCAACAGATAGCACATCAACTGCGACCATGTCAACAGTTAGCACATCAACTGCGACCATGTCAACAGTTAGCACATCAACTGCGACCATGTCAACAGTTAGCACATCAACTGCGACCATGTCAACAGTTAGCACATCAACTGCGACCATGTCAACAGTTAGCACATCAACTGCGACCATGTCAACAGTTAGCACATCAACTGCGACAATGTCAACAGTTAGCACATCAACTGCGACCATGTCAACAGATAGCACATCAACTGCGACCATGTCAACAGTTAGCACATCAACTGCGACCATGTCAACAGTTAAAACATCAACTGCGACCATGTCAACAGTTAGCACATCAACTGCGACCATGTCAACAGTTAGCACATCAACTGCGACCATGTCAACAGTTAGCACATCAACTGCGACCATGTCAACAGTTATATATTCTTCTTCTTTTAGCCTAGTGTCATGGTTTTCTGTATTTGTATTGTGCTTCCCAGGTGACTTGGGTGATAGATTTGTTAATTCATCTTTTTCCAGGTTTCAGCTACACCATTTATCCACCTCTTTCTTGGTCTTCCCCTTGGCTTCCTTCCAGATTTTTTGCTGTAAAAAAATGTGTATGCAGTTTAGTCTGGCTGAATTCTCACAAGGTGGCCAAACCAATTAAACCTATGTAAGTCAAAATAATCCTAACCCTATTCCTTCTTGCGTTGTTAGTGACCTTATGGAGACAGCACATTCACAAGTAGTTATTTTCTGTTCCAGCACCCTATTCATTGTCCATGTTTGCAACTGATAGCATAAAGTAGGGATAAATATGCTATTAATCATTTGCTGTTTAAATGGAAGGAAGACAATTAGGTGTCTAAGCAGTGGGGTTAACTTGTAGGTGACAGTATTTGCTTTCTGTACTCTGACTTCTATTTCTTTATCAAATCTGCCATCGTCTGTATGATGAAAGTACAAAGGTTTTCTTTGACGCCCTATTTAAACAGTCAGAGTGTTCATTACTTCCTGAAACTAATGATAGTAAACCTTCATGAAGTCTACCAAGACGGTGTCATTATAAAAATATATATTTCATAAAGAGGGAAAAAAACTACAAATGATATTCTCCTTTAGTGAACAAATATTTTCTTACAAATGCTAGATATTTGAATTCATGTACTTGTTTGATTGTGGTACCAATTCCATGAATGTTCATGTTGTTATGTTTCATGCCTATTCTCATGACTTAGTTTTTGTAGTTTTTATTTTCATATAATTACACTTTGTTCAGGTTTGATGTAAGGAATCAATATGGTGTAAATTCTGTTCTAGATGTATATCTTAGACACTGATTGTTTGCACACACAAATGTTACTACTTCATTACTTACATGGATACAATTATACAGGAGGCAAATACAGATACTGAAGTTTCCATTTCATTGTCACAATGTCAACAGCTACCACAGCAACTGTCACAATGTCAACAGCTACCACATCAACTGTCACAATGTCAACAGCTTCCACTGCAACTGTCACAATGTCAACAGCTACCACAGCAACTGTCACAATGTCAACAGCTACCACAGCAACTGTCACAATGTCAACAGCTACCACAGCAACTGTCACAATGTCAACAGCTACCACAGCAACGGTCACAATGTCAACAGCTACCACAGCAACGGTCACAATGTCAACAGCTACCACATCAACTGTCACAATGTCAACAGCTACCACAGCAACTGTCACAATGTCAACAGCTACCACAGCAACTGTCACAATGTCAACAGCTACCACATCAACTGTCACAATGTCAACAGCTACCACAGCAACTGTCACAATGTCAACAGCTACCATAGCAACTGTCACAATGTCAACAGCTACCTCAGCAACTGTCACAATGTCAACAACTACCACAGCAACTGTCACAATGTCAACAGCTACCACAGCAACTGTCACAATGTCAACAGCTACCACATCAACTGTCACAATGTCAACAGCTACCACAGCAACTATCACAATGTTAACAACTACCACATCAACTGTCACAATGTCAACAGTTACCACATCAACTGTCACAATGTCAACAGCTACCACATCAACTGTCACAATGTCAACAGTTACCATATCAACTGTCACAATGTCAACTACTACCATAGGAACTGTCACAATGTCAACAACTACCACAGCAACTGTCACAATGTCAACAGTTACCACAGCAACTGTCACAATGTCAACAGTTACCACATCAACTGTCACAATGTCAACAGTTACCACATCAACTGTCACAATGTCAACAGTTGCCACAGCAACTGTCACAATGTCAACAGCTACCACATCAACTGTCACAATGTCAACAGCTACCACATCAACTGTCACAATGTCAACAGTCACCACATCAATTGACATAATGTCATCAGTCACCATGTCAAATGCCACAATGTCAACAGTTACCATTTCAACTGACACAATGACAACAGTCACCAGATCAACTGTCACCAGGTCAACAGCTACTATATCTACTGTCAGGAGGTCAATAGGCTAACACACTGCTTTGCAACAAAAACAATTATAAAAAGGGGGAAGACAGAGACAGAATGAGAGCACAAAGAGACAGAGATGACTTCATTTCACCAAATGATTTGGTCTTTCTCTGCAGAATGGCTAGCCATCTGCCAAGAGTGCAACACAGAGCATGAACTCAGAAATTGTGCCTCAGTGACAAACCAGGGATCGTCAGTGACAACCCCCAAGAATATTGGTAAATACTGCTCTGGTGAATTGAACGATGCATCTGTAAAACAAACCCATGCCCTTTAGAGCCTGAAGCAAACAGCCTGACCATTTCGCCATGGGGACCTTCCTGCTGTGTAAATCATCTGGTATCCCCTCTGATCTAGACAATGTAGTACCATCATCATTTTGTCAGACAATATGTGAAACAACTTACGTCCACTGCTTTGTGTAAATGACTGAATGCAGGTCATCTTCAAAGATAATGTCCTTTTGCAACAATGCTTCTTTTTTCTGCTTCTCCTCTTCTGACATTTGGCAAGAGCAGCACTGAGGACCATGTTCAGATTGTAGGGCTGTTTCTGTCTTGATTTTAGCATTCTCTATCTTTACTTCTGGTTGTTTCTGAACATCTTTGGTGATGACCATTGCTGTAACAGGAAAAAGAAGCAAAAGATGAAAAGTGTCTGAAAGTTTTTCTATCCCAATTACTGAATGAATACTCTGAAATTCCAATCCCCTTCTTCTTCTTCTTCCTCCACTGACCTCATAGAAGGGTTGGAGGAGATATAAAGATCATCTGTGACATCTTTCTACTGCACTGTGGTAGTTGGTCTTCATTTCTCAAACCTTGTTCTTTATGCTGTCTTTCCCTATTTTGCTGTGTTTCCATATTTTGCTGTCTTTCCATATTTTGCATGGTCTTTCCTATGCTCAGTGTTCCTAATATTTCTTCAGTGTGGCTCTCTCCATAGCAGACGGCACAAGGGCATTCTCAAAAGATGGCCAATTAATTTCATCTTGTGCGCTATCATGAACTGTGTGGCTGGTTCCTGTCCTAGTCTTCTAATTTCTTGGAAACCCTATTATCGCCTGGCTAAAAACAAACCACAACTTATCTTATAGATGACCACAGCAAACTCTTAATTAGTCACCCCTACCCACCAAAATCTGAAAAGGTGTGTGTATAAAATAATACATAAAATACTTTGTGATTCAGTACTGAACAACAATGCTTACGATCTTTGCAAAAGTCTCTCTGCTCGAAGCCATTAGTACTGGATGTCTGCGGCTGATAGAAAACTTTGTAATGAGTAACATTTCCATTGGGAGCCTTGGGTGGTTTCCATCGAACTGTCAGCTCATGGGGATCCGGCGAGAAGACTTCAAGGTCAAGTGGTTCCGTGGGTTCTGACGTTGCAAGATATTTATGAGATTAATACCTCACTCAAAACATCAGATAAACACCAAAACAATAATTATATTCTTTAGGTAACTCTTATCTCTGAATAACTGTTATTGCAAGTGATTTTTCAAATTTTATTTTAAACTTGAAGTTTAAAACTGTCACATTCCAGGATTACAGTCTGACACCTGGTGATTCTAAGAGTCAAAAATGCGGTGTTTTGGGTCACCATCTTGGAGGGAAAAAACAGACCAAACAAGTGCATCGCCACAGAGAAAACATTGAAGGGGAAGAGGTGGATGGCACACACCCCACTTCACTTTATAATTTTCTAGGGTTGGAGGTGTTATCAAGCCTTGTTTTACAGCACAATAATAATATTATTTGTCATTACTGAGCATATAAACAAGGCTTATACCCTTACGTTTTGTGTACATTCGCACTAAATACTGAATAATAAATCAAGAATCAACATCACAGCACTCTGAATATTCCCATAAGTGCTTAGTACCCATCCTCAGCAGTAAATGAAAAATTCCAATTCCAATGATCATTAACACTGCATATCTGTCTCGTCTTTCTATTGAGTGCTGAATATCGGCCAGATCTCCTGGTCACTCCTTGCAGCATTATTCTTCACAGACAGTGATGATCTGTTTTTGCCTCCGCACTTTTGACTCGCTCATAAAGGATCCTCACAAAATTTGTCATGCAATCATTCACCACCAAGAGGTGCAGAACCAGCCAGTTTATTTGCTTGTTCACTTTCCAACACACATCCATGACTTGGAGAAAATACCCAAGAGGACACCAACGACCTGGGACCTCTGAAGCCATGCCTGCCACTGTGCAAAGGTCTCGAGCTTTCTGCATCTGTGGAAGGAGGGACTTGTTGCATGGCATGGAGATAGCAGATTGTTGAGAGAGGCGTGATCGCCCATGCCAGTTGGAGTACGGATGTTTTCTTTAACCTCCTGTTAAAACAGTCACAGTGTTCATTACTTCTTCCAGAGGGCGCAGCCCCTGTCCAGCGGGAGGCCTGATACGGTTGTGAGGTTAAGCAGGCATGTGCAGGACGTGACGATTGCTTGGGTGAGCCCAGAACCAGAGCGCCATGTGCCGGCTCTGCATGCATGGAAGCCTCCTTGGATGGCGGGGAATGCCCATGATCTGCCCCTGCCTTCCCTTGAGGGCTAACTGTTCCACAGGGGGCTGCCCCAAAGGGGTACTCCGGGGGCAACACCTGCGGAGAAGGAGACAAAGTGGACACCACACAAATCAGGCAATGTCTCGACCCACACAAAACAATGGCCACAGTCAACCTAGAAATAGGCCTGACGTCTTCCTTCGAAGTCGGAGTACAGCTGCCCATGAGGCAGGGAAATGAAAAACGGTTGTACATGCAAAAATCAGGTCCAGGTGAAAGCCAAAAGTCCAAGCGGACGATTAACCGGGACCTTCCACTGGAATTCACAGCCGGTGATCGATAAAAAAAAAAAAAAAAAAAATTACTTCTTAAAACTATTGATAGTAAACCTTCATAAAGTCTACCAAGAGGGTTTCATGATAAAAAATATATACATACCATAAAGAAGGAAAAAAACTACATATGACATTCTTCTTTAGTGAACAAATATTTTCTTAACATCATGAATATTCTAAGGCTGCGTGCAAAAAAAAAAAAATGGTGATTTAACAGTCAGTTTTCGAGAAAAGGGCTTGCATGTGTTTATGTATTTGCATGTGTTTATGTATTTGCATGTGTTTATGTATTTGCATGTGTTTATGTATTGTTGAGTTAACTATAGTCATCATCTTAAATGACGTGTTTGTTAAGCAGCAGTGGGTCTTTATTATCTTTTCTCTATTAAAAAAAAAGGGATCTTGGAACTCACAGGGGGAACCTATAAAATGTTATGTTAAATAGATGTTTTTTATACTCACTATAAGTGCTTGTCACAAAATAGGTGATGTTGGTCATGGCAGAAACTGTTGCATCTTGTAATGTAACAGCCTGCACATAGATGGCATACTTGGTGAAGGGCTTCAGTGGATATACGGCATCCATTTCAAAAAACACACCTTCTTTCGGTTTGTGGATTTTTGTTTTCCAGTCGTTATCAGAACAGGCATCTCTACCTTGAAAGATGTCCCTTATCGGCTCTGAGCTGTATGCAAATAAATATGATGATTTTACTGTAAAGTGCAAATGTATCAATGTGGGGTATGCATTATCTATACAGGGTGTCCCATAAGTTTCTGTACATTGGAAAAATAAACACATTAGCAACATCATTATTACATGCATAACTCCAGCTTGTTTATATATGTTCTTTAACAGCGGAGGACAGGCACTGAAATGTGTTTTTCTTTCTGTGGAAACTTAGGGGTTATCATAAACTGGTGAACTGCTGTGACTAGCTGCTTGCCTGCAGACCTGAAAGTCTTGAATTTGAATCAGCCACAAGCAGGTTTTTTTAAATACCAGACCTTGGTTGCCAGGTTGACCACATGCCCTACTAAGTCCTTGTGGGTCTATAAAAAAAATATGGACTCAGCATCATGTGTTCAATGCACCATTAGCCTGAAAAAAGCCTCTTTTTTCTTACTTTTTGTTTTTTAAAATAAGGAAACAGCTGCCATGGTGTAGAGGCTAAACGCTCGCCTTAGGCCAGAAAATTTAAGGTTCAAATCTGCACAGAGCCTTATTTTTTTTAACAAATGACTTTGGGCATTGCAAGCAGTGGATAGATAGAATATTGTGCCCCACAATGTTGTGGAAGGAATGAGTCTGGGGAATTTAAGGCAGGAACCTGTATCCACAAATAATGAAGCCGATCCTTTATAAACCAAAGCAAACAGCATTTTGAAGGGAAAACAATGAAGATGAAATACATGAAATGCAAACTCAGGTAATGCGATACTTACACCTCCTTATAATTGATGGCATAGTGAATGAGATTTCTGGAATCACTGGACTGGTAACTGGACCAGTGCACAAGCAGAGCTGAATTGGTGTAACTCAAAACTAACTGCAGTGTCATGCTCTTACCTGTGGAAAAACAGAAACAATTTAGTGTACCCATTAAGATCAGTGTTTTTTTTTTTTTGGAGGGAAGGGAGGAATATGTGGTGACTCAATGAGCCACTGTTCAGAATAGAATCCAACAGGAGCTAATCCTGGAAGCATCTTGTTCAACTGTATACCATAAGTTATATTAGGGCACCCAACAGTTGCCTGTAGACCCATAGCCTTATCTGGGTGGGTATTAGAACTGAAGACCATGAAATTAGTTGCTATTCCAACATCTATGGTTCTTTTCTCCAGGCCATTCCAGCATGGTGGAAAATGAATAGGCAGATTGGTCAGATCTGCATCACTGGGTGGTGAAGTGATATATGACAAAACAGATGTGGTCAAGGCACTTTAGTAATGAAGTCAGAAGAGAAACAAAATTATCATGGCCTGGAGAGGATGATGCATGTGGGTGTAACCAAAGGGTCTGGCCAGCTCACTATACTCAGAGGAAAGGCAAGACGGTCAAATAACCAGATTAAAAATGGTAATATTAGTATTAGAACTCTGTGCTTGCTGCTAAAAATTAGGACAGAGAGCTCATAGGAAAAACCAGAGTGCTGTGTTGTCAATTCTTGACTCAGTTCAATTCAACTCAACATCTATGGTTCTCACTCTTCTGGCTGCCTAATTTCATACTGTTGTAATGTTTTTCTGATGTAATGTTCCCACCTCGTTCCACTGTGGGTTTTATGGGGGGATGATGTTCTTGCAAATAGGCAGGGAAGAGATAGGCGATGGATAGCCAATGAGCTACAAGCAACTGTCGACAAAGTGACTGACTGGTGTGCAGAAATGGGTGCTGTCATCAACTCAGAAAAGACGGCTGTTTTGTGGTGCTCTCTGGACAACAGAATTGTAAAAGCTAACGTTCCAAACCTCACAGTTATTAACTAAACATCTAAAGAGAAAGCAAACTGAGGTACCAGGGTATCCTTTTTGATAGAAGCCTGTCCTTCGGTGATCATGTGTAGGCAGTTGCGGTGAAATGCCAAAAAGGACTCAATGCTTTCAAGATTATGGCAGCAATGGACATGAAAAAAGAATGTTGTTCACAATGTTCCAGTATGTGATCCTGTCGGTGATAGATTATGGACTTGGCATGCTTACCATATCAAAGAGTCAGCTGATAAAACTTGAACACATACAGAATTAAGGCATGAGGGTAATTCTGAGATGTACAAAAGATAGCCCGGTAGTATGAATGCGATATATATTTGCAATGCCTACTACTGTGTTGAGGAACAGGTGAATGGACGTCACTTGGTACAACAAAACCTGGCATATGATATGACAACGTCTAGTTTGAGAATAAAGGTGGAGGCAGACACTGCTGCCTTCAGCTGGTTTGAGAATCAGCTGTACACACATGTCGTCATTGTAACTGGCTCACAGAACATGTTGAGAAAGGTGGAAACCGGCATGCTCCGTGCAGAGAGTCAAGCATCACTTTAAAGTTAAAGTAGTTAGCATCATTTGGATATTTTCTCCAGGTCATGCCGTGTGTTGGGAAATGAGCAGGTGGATAGATTGGCCAGTTCTGCGCCACTCAATGGTGAATTGATGTATGACAAGCTGGATGTTGTGAGGGGCCTTTGGGAGCGAGTGAACGGTGTCAAGGCACAGATAGATCATTACGGACTGAGGAGAATGGCACTGTGAGGAGTTACAAGGGTATCTGGCCAACGCTTGGCACTCACAGGAAAGGCAAAACGGATATACAATCAGACAGTTTCTGGTACTATCGAAATTTTAACTCTTTGCTTGCTGCTGAAGATGGGGACAGAGTGCTCATGGGAGGTGTCAACATTAATTTTGTGGGGAATGCTTATTGTCTGTGAGATCAATTTAGAAAACTGCATGTTCAGAAAATAATGAGTGGCTGCCATACCACTGGCAGTGTGCCTTATGCAGTGATGTGTGTGCACCTGCTGGTTTGTCATGAATGCTGTTTCCTCCATCAACAATAAATTGCAATTCCAGTGACAGACTGCTGGTGATGGTAGCAGCTTTTTGATTTATATTAAAGAAAGGGGGGAAAAACGGAACTTCGTTTCCAGGATGACCTAGCCTAAAATGGGTAGCAGGTAATGTCCAGGGAAGTAAAGTTTGGCACAGGGCGGGGAATGCTGACCGCATCTGCCATTGAGTGCTGATTGGTCGACAAAATATGACTCTAGCATCATATAACCAATGCATCACTGGCATGAAAAGGGTCCTTTACTTACAACTGTGCAATACATCATCATGTGCCTTGCCAGATGACATATACATTTTATCACCTCAACAGATCCCAGTCCTTGATATTCTAGATATGAATATTAAGCCAGCTACCAAGACCTTTCCTGGTGCCCATTTGATTCTAGGTTGACCTAGGAGCACTAGACCAATTATTTAAAAAAAAAACCACTGCCTTAATGAGGATTTGAACTAAAGACCACTGGGTGGATAACAGAGCAACTAAGAGCTCAATATCTATCTTCAACAGACAGTGAAGAGTTCCAATACCAATGATGCCAGTAGCATTGTGATTAAACGTCCGTCTGGCCTTTCCTCTGAGCATTGAGCAGAACCACTTGTCACTCCCCCATGCATCACTCTCACCTAAGAGTGACAAACCAAGTCTGCATACAAATAAGCCAGATCTGTGCAATGGATGTGCATGAAAAACTTGCATTTTGGAACTAGACCAGAGTCAAGCCCAGAAGTGGACGAACAACCAGAACTTTTCACAAGAGCTTACAGTCGGTGAAAAAGAAAGACTCAAACAGTTTAAATCTGTATTGAATGTATCCCTAACAAATCCACTCTCCTTTTACCAACTTACATGGAATGAGATTGCCATTGCTAGAGTTGCTAATGTTAATTCTCTGATTATCCAGCTGTGATGTATAGTTTAACTGGTGCACAAAGTTGTATATCTTATCCAGGCATAGTTTACGGTTGCTGTGGAAACCAACTTTTCCCTTTTGGATGAGCATTTTTTTCATCTGATGCTCTGGAAACAACTCCTGCAGATTTGTGTTGTCAGCAATAAATAAGCTGTACCTGGAAATAGAAGGCAATTTTAGAAGACATGTTCCAGAACTTGTCAAATGCTAAATACAATTCTGAAGAGAAAAAAAAAGTTATCTCTTTAGAAGTCTTGGGAGCAACTGGCTGAGTGGTTAAAGAAGATGGGTTCTCATTCAAGAGATTCAGGTTTGAATCCTTGCTATTCCTGTGTGGGTTCGGGGGCCCAACTGTGGGTGAAAAGACCAACTGCCCCCTTATCAAGTATGTCGTAAGCAGCAAGGAACCATCTGCATACAAGTAAGCCAAATATGTCAAACGGATGTGCACATAACTAACATAAGTTCTGGAACAAGACTGAAGTCCAGAAAGTGGACAAACAACCATAAGTTTTTGCCAGGGTTTTCAGCTGCTGAATGCTTGAAACAAAACAAAATAAAACTCTTGGTCTTGGTAAGACCATGGATTTTTCTGTTATAAAAAATCCTAACCCGCACGACTGTAGTGACTGCTTTAGCTCTGCAGCCATAAACAGTCAGGCTCAAGCCCTAAAAAGCAGTAGCAACAATCAGTAAGGACAGCTGTTTTTTTTTATGTTTTTATTTACATTTTTTTTATTAGGCCTGATATTTAGTTTCACAAATGAGAAATTACCTAACCGTATCTTTGCTGCTCCCTAGCTCCTTTACCCTCAATGTTTCTATCCATTATTGCTTTCAGTAGACTGCTATGATGTTTAATATAATCAAAGTACCAGTTTTCTTCCTTTATTTAAGTTAGCTGCGTATCCTTTACAGGGCGTTGCAGAGCCAGCCCCAGTATTTTATGGCAGTTGTGCTTTTTGTAGGCAAATTTTGTGTCAGTAGTTTGGTCGGCTCTCGATACTACTGTAGAAACCACGGCGAGATGGTCTGCTGCCAAATCGCCTGCAGCTGGGATCAAATCTGACAACCTGGCCTTACCAAGTGTGGTAGCATTGCTTAAGCTACAGATGCTGACCTTTGTCCTTCAGTAGTCGTCCCTTCTTATACTGAGTTGTTTTAGAATTCTTGACATCATAAATACTAGACATATATAAAAATAAAAAAATGATGTATGCACATTAATCACAAGAGGAAATACAAGAAAAATAAAACAGTTGCAATATGGCAAAGCAACAGAATAAACAACAAATATTTTATAGTCATTAAAAAAAAAAACATTACAAATAGAAAGAAGAAGAAAAAGAATCAGTATTTTACATTTAATGGCAAATTCTTCCTTTCTTTATTCCCCAATGGAGGCCTCCAACCAACTCCCATCAAGTTCTTCTATCCTTTGCTATTGCATGCACTCACCCCATGTTCTCCCCATCTTTTTATCTACACACTCTAATTCCCTTCTCCTGGTGCTGCCGTTTGTGTGTGTGTGTGTGTGTGTGTGTGTGTGTGTGTGGGGGGGGGGGGGGGGGGGGGGCGCTTTTATTTCTATGACCCTGGGGATTCCAGTACAATACATCAATACATTCTAGTTATATACTGTTCTCAGGTTGTCCCAGCATGCGTCCTGTCCTATGCCAGTTTATATTCTCCACCTCTTGATTCGCTGGAAATTGTTTAGTTCTCTCCCAAAGCTTTACAATAGTTATTCTGTCATATCATTTACTTCCCTTTATTGTGCGGCTGGCCGAATGGTTAGAATGCTGGGCTCTCAAGCGGGAGACCCGGGTTCGAATCCTCAGTAAGGATGGGTATTAATTCTGCCAGTGCCACAATATAATCCTCACCTGCACAGTCATGGCAACAGAACTAGCCCTGCGGCCGTAAATCCTCAGGCTCAAAGACCTTCCTGCCTACACCGCAAAAGTGGTAAAATAAAAGCAGCAATTGGCAGTTCATTGTGCGCATGCACCAGTTAATTAATGTTTGTAATTTATTACTCTCGCAAAAAATGCATATTAAATTGCAAAAACTTGAAATATAAGAAATTTAAAAAAAAAAAACACACACACAATTCCAGGAAGATGAAATAATACAAATCTTACTCCTTGTGAACTAATTTTTCCCCACCAATGATCTCAAGATCTCGAAAGAAATGCAGGGTCAAGAGAGAATAAGTTCTCCATATCCGAATGTAGCCAGTGACTTCACGGATTGCTCCAAGATTTTTGGTCAGTTCATAGTCAACGTCACCTGCCATATACAAAAAAGGAACACTGTTAAAGAAAACATCTAATAAAACATTCACAATGCAAGCTGAAGGTATCAATGACAAAGTCTGCAACTGATATTTCTGTGTTTCTAGTCTGACCTTAATACCACAGCATCTTTTTCTTCCTCTGTATTTGCCCTTAAAAGGGCAGTTGATATGTTCTATTCTGGTTTACAGCAGGGCTGTGATATCTGCACCTTTCAGCCAAACATCGCAAATCCCCTAATTAGTCACTTTTAAATGACACGATTGTTAAGGGGGCAGTAGGTCTATTCTTGTTTCCTCCAAAAGAAGGCCCTAGAACCCAAGCAGAGATATGTTGTGGAAAACTGCCTCAACATCTATAAGAACATGCACAGATCATGGCAATTTCAATACTGCTAATATCAATACTGATGCAAAAAAACAGCATCAAGATAACAATGATTATAAGAAAGTTAGTACAAAAATACAAGTCAAGCTGCAAGTAGAATATATCTTAAATTAACCTTGCTCCTTGTTTGGGGAATTGGGAGGGGGGGGGGGTGTTTGAAGGCCAGAAGACGAAGAGAACCGCCACCCCTGAGCACACGTTTTAAAAGATGACCAATTAAGGGTTTGCTGAAAACAGGTGTGTTCGGATAAAAGGTGCAGCTTTCGAGAGTACACGTGAACCACAATACAACAGCAAACTGCCTTATTTTAAAGGCAAATAGAAAAAAAAATATAAAGGAAGAATAAACAACATGTGCAAGTTGTTTCTTTTTAGATTCAAAACTAATATAGAGCTTTGGGAGAGAAATAAATAATCCCAGTAAATCAAGAGGTGGGGAATGTATACTGGCATAAGACTGGACCCATGCTTAAACGACCTGAGAAAATATAACTTTAAAAAAAGGATCAGGAAAAGGGAACTAAAGAATGAAGATAAAAAGCTGGGGAGAAGATGGGATGTGCTGCATGTGCTAACAAAAGGTAGGTAGGACGAGATGACTTGGTGTAAGTTGACTGAGCACCTATGCTCGACTGGGAGATAAAGGAGAGAAGTTTAAATTTGATAACCAAAGAATAGCAAGAAATATAAATTCATGTATACTTTCTATTGATTAGCAGCAGTCGGTCATGTTAAATGTGTGTTGAGGCTACACATGGCATCTAATGGAATGTGACAGAAGTCAGGGGAGGAGGTCAACATATCTACTCTCTTATTAGAATACTTCACATGATTTTAAAAACCCAGATTATATCAAAATGGACAGTTAAAAAATGCTGTTTTTTGTGGATGAATGCAGGGACAATAAGTAATGTAGGTGATAAAGGAACTGCCTAGCTACAATGAAGCAGGTTTGTGTGGAGGTGATATGGTGGGACAATAAGTACTGTCGGTGATAAAGGACTGCCTAGCTACAATGAAGCAGGTTTGGGTGGAGGTGATATGGTGGGACAATAAGTACTGTCGGTGATAAAGGAACTGCCTAGCTACAATGAAGCAGGTTTGTGTGGAGGTGATATGGTGGGGCAATAAGTAGTGTCGGTGATAAAGGAACTGCCTAGCTACAATGAAGCAGGTTTGTGTGGAGGTGACATGGTGGGGCAATAAGTACTGTCGGTGATAAAGGAACTGCCTAGCTACAATGAAGCAGGTTTGTGTGGAGGTGACATGGTGGGGCAATAAGTGCTGTCGGTGATAAAGGAACTGCCTAGCTACAATGAAGCAGGTTTGTGTGGAGGTGATATGGTGGGGCAATAAGTACTGTCGATGGTAAAGGAACTGCCTAGCTACAATGAAGCACTAATCAAATAACATTGTCTCGTTCTTCTGTAAAATTGCTTACAAGCTGACAAGGTCCATTTTCATGCCTTTATAGATGTATCAGGCATTTTAGTGCCAGCACGTTTTTAAAATTTTTTTTATGGAGCAACTGGGACTTTGTGTTATGCAGTCAACATCACACTAACCATCTTTACTTTCCTGAACACTTTCTGGATGCCATTTTGGCTGAGGTAACTTGGGAGTCCAAGTCAGCTAGAAAGTCTGCAGAGATTCCAAGAGACAAGCAGGTTAGTCACAGTGCTCTGGGCTTATAAGCTACAGTTCTTTAGTAACTGGTTAAAATACGGACCACAAATTGAGAAAACAACATATCATTTAGGAATGTTTACAAATACCTACATGAGAGAAAGCTGGAATAAGGCTATGTCTGAATTATACTGGCAGACAAAGAATGAAATGGTTTGGCCATCTAGTGAGAATACAGCCAGACCAAACTGCTGAGATTTGTGTGTGTGTGCAGCAGAACATCTGAGAGGAAGGCAAGGGGGAGGCCAAGAAACAGACGGATAAATGATGTTGCTGAGACTTGCAAAAAGATCAACAAATGCATCACCCAAGCCATCTGAAGAGCTAAGACAAACATAGATAACCTAGACACTGGGCAACAATCTGGTATCTGTTAGACGACAAGAGAAGATTAAAGTTTGGGAAGACTCGTCACTTACGTCCTCCTGTGATCTGTATCTCAAGGCTACCATTAATCTTGCTGCAGCCAAAGAGCACCTCTGAGTTCTGGACACTGCTCACTTTCGTAGTGTTGCACACTGAAAGACAGAAGCAAACCTGTTAATGACTGCCACCTATATTGTTCCAGTTGGTGTCAAAGCTTTTCCTGACAGCCGCTTCTGATGAGCACACATTACATTTAATCATCTACAACACTATGTCTCTGTTATGTGTGGCTATTTGGGGGGGGGGGGGGGGGGGGGGGGGGGGGGGGGGTGGGGGGGTGAATGTAAAAATAAAATACAGTAGCTACAATAATTTTTATTAACAATGATTTGCTTATTTCGCTATTTTGCTTGTTCCCCATGTGTGTTTCAGGGCCCAATTTAGGGGAGCCCTGCTCTAAACGTCTCGTCTAAACATGGCCCAATCAGGCAGCTTGTTTCCAGCATGCCATAGCGGCATTACAGCCCTTACTTGACCTTGAAAAAGAGATAAATCAAATGAGAAGTAATCTGGTAATCTGGTAATCCTAGTTTCAGCTTCATAGCAAACGGGTCACCCCACACATGCTCCGCTCCTGTGCAAACGAAAAACAAATGCAGCTCACAGTGTCACGCCATGCACTCAACTCAGAAGCTGGCGACGAAACTACATCCTTCCAGTCTACAAATGGAGCAAAAATGCAACGGCCACCGTCTGGCAAAAAAAAAAAAAAAAAAAAAAAAATATTTGCCCCGGCTTTTTAAAAAAAAAGGGTGGCCGTACCTAGCGTCCATTTTGACCGGAAGAATTATATGAGGGTTAATAAACGGTCACCCCAGCAGTACCCTCATTATTAGCTGGGGAAGGGACTTAGGACATTACATCCACCAGCAGGCGTCGCCCTACAACGACCTGCCTGCCATCGTTAACGACTGTTCACCCAACAAATGAGAAGTAAAAACTAGTCAGCTTTACAGTATCGCAATCATGAATAACAAATAAACGTTGTGCATTTCAAGCCTTCTTTAGCATTTTACGTCAACGGACAATGTTATCATTAGAAACAAGGATACACAAAATAATTTTTTTTATGTTATCACAACTGACATCTATACATATAGGGCATCCTCATGCGTGCACAGTCCTCTGATGCAGCAGCCACTCCAAGGCACCTCTACTGATTTTTCCCATAAGGAGCTGGTTATAATATCTTGTCTTTACCTAAAAATTTACATAGATGTGCTTCACCAAGCTCAGCTTTTCGGTCACGCAGTCGTGTCAGCGTCAGAGATTCGCCAATATCCCCTAACATGCGAAATCACGCATCTTTATGTGAGCTGAGGTCGGTGACTGAAATATCCATAATGCATCTGAACAGGAGAAACTGTTATTTTCTGTAACTAACCTTTAGGACAAATGCCTTGACAGCGTATACATTCAGGAACACTAAGGTCCTTCTCTTTGACCATGTAACCAGGAGGGCACTTGAACACACACTGGCTAGGAAAGGTGCTGTTTCCCATCAATAGCTTGGGGATATTGACACTGCTGTCACTTCTGTTAATACGTCCAGAACGTGATCGTAGGTTCAGGCACTCATTTCTGGTGAGACATCGGCGGTTGAACAGCTGAAAATTACAGAATATGTTGAAATAATCAATAAAATGAAGAAGACAGAAATAAAATTACCATAAAATAAAAAAGAGATTACTGCGAGAAATATTTTTTTAAGTGTTAGGTTTTATAATAAAGCTGTAAAACAGCCTGATTCTGTGCAATCTAAGTGTTAAGCTTTACAAATAAAAGCAATCTGAAATCTAAGTGTTACACTGTTCAATAAAATTAACTGCTACGTTTTTTTTTTTTTTTCAAATAAGGCTAAAGACTTGTCAGTATTTTGCACAAATAAGGGTAAATAATCACCAACATTTAGAAATCTAGGCTCCCCAATTTTACAAACTAACCTGGTCATATGCAAGTCTCAGCCAACATTAAACAAAACAAATCAATAAACCTGAGACAGTAGAAAACATGTTCAACAATCAGCTACTAGGAGAGTTCAATGGCATCCTCAACAGAACCCCACAAATCAAACTCAGCAGATACATTGGACAATAAGATCCTGTCAATGACACTGAAACAACCAACCTTTACTAATTTTGAGGCTTTGTACACAAAAATGACACACAAAACTACAAACTGGCTCTTATTCAGGAGACTCAGAGATGGTCATGTACAAACTACACAGACTGAATATCATACAAATATTAGAATTTCAAAACACTGTATTTACAACAGTAAAATGCAATATACTGCATCAACTGTATCATCGAAACACATAAATTGGTTAGGTTCAACTTAATCTCCCCAAATAGAGTAGGTCACTTTTCATTAACAAGTTTGTTGGGCTTCTTGACTTTCCTGAAGGTTACGGGTGTGTTGTTTATTTTCTCTGATGTCTTGAATTTATGTTTTCATTTCGGCCTGGCCATTGAGTTAACCATATGTGTCGATCCCTCCCCACCAAATATATAGTTGAAACATTCCGTTTCTGGGGACAGCTTTTATCGAGTTTGCTCTCTAGACAGTTGCAGTCCCCTGCCGACGAGATTCTGTCTTTCCAAGTGGACCACTGCAATCAAAACATTGTGAAGGCAGCGTGGTCGAGGCTACCAAAAACTATCAGTCATTATCCCGCGCCGACATAGCACAACCACAATACACGCAGCTCCCACGAAAAACACATTGTATCCTGCGTTGGAAATGCGCACAAAGTAGCAGTCCATGATTACGAAAAAGAATAATCCGAGAGAATTGACAGCCAGCGAAAATAAACACAGCTGCTATCCGCCATTTTGAAAACGGAAGTCCCGTTTTCATTTCAAGAAAGAGAATGCCTGTGACACAGGTTGCAGCACTCTCTAGGGGGGTTATATTAGTACCAGTTTCTCCATGTTTTTGGAGTGTTAAAAGTGCTGGCGTACTAAAATATACAACATGCGATATCAGCGGCATTGCGGAACACTCCCATAGCCTTGTGTCAAGGTAAGAGGTTCAGGAACTACCAATCAGAAGTGAGCTAGTGTGTATATGGGTGGGGCATGGGGAGACCAACGTTACTTTTACCCATAAATCAATCAAGCAAAGTATTAACTAATCAAAAATAATGCAACCATTAGGAAAAAGCAAACTCTCAGAGTGTGAACAAGTAATTTCATCCCCGCAGCTTTAAAATCCAGCAGTAGGGATACTGTGAAAGTGTGCTAACAGTACAGATAACTTTTGTTATATTTGCGGGGAAGTGATTTCTGCAAGCTAGAAAAAGGTCTTCCCTGTAATACTGAAAAAGGCACATGACTGTTATTTTAGATGCAGAAGGGGCCTAGGACAAGGCCTGAGCCCCATATACATGCTGCATAAGTGGACGAAAGGCAAGTAAAAATGTATCGATGCCATTTGCAGTTCCTGGTTTGAAGAGAGCCCAGCAATAAATTTCTGTAACCTATGGTGCCATTTAAACAGTTTCAGAGGAATTCTGTCCGTATTCCATAGTTGTAGATTTCAAGCTGTACAATAGACATGAAAACGAAGACACCTTGGGGGGGGGGGGGGGGGTATGCAGGCCTAGTTAGTTGTGTTCTTAGTATTTTTGTCTCCATAGCGAGGCGCACAAGCATCTCGAGGTGATAGGTTCAATTCCCAACACAGTAACTATAGCCTTTGATATTTATGTCGTCTAGTGTGTCCTTCTATCTTTCTACTTCTTTCTATGAGTGCCGATCAATACATTGTCTCTTTGTTAATATTTATTGTTCTAAATTACAAATATCTGACAGAAAGAACAAGACAACAGTACATACCATAAATGTATGAGAAGGGCAATGAGACAGACACTCATTATTGTAGACAACATGAGTGCAGACATAACAATCGGCAGCTGTGGTACCCGAACAGCCTCCCAGACACAGCTCGTGGCAACAGGAACCATCTGGTGCACATGGCCTCCCATTGGAACAGTTGCATACTGCACGAGAAGAATACCACAGTAAGTGTGAGTGAGCAAGAAAGTGAATGGGTGAGTGAATGAGTGAGTGGGTGGTTGACCTTTGAGTAGATGAGTCAGTGGTGAGTGTGTGTGACAATGAATAATAGGAAAAATCATGAGGGTAAATTCAGCACCTTGGAAACAAAATATATAGTTCAATAACCGATCAAAGTAATGACAAGCTTTTCTTTTTCGTACTGACCATGTTGTGTGGTGCTGGACATATCTGTCTACAGGTCTGTGTATATAGTACTGTTTTCACAGTTCTGATACAGATGCTTTTTTGTGTGTCATGAGATTACTAAGCTGCTTCCACCCCTCTCACAACCCTCAGCCTAAGGCAAAGCTTTCCAACACCTTCAACACACTCAGTCCTAAGCAAATAGCTTTCCCAACACCTTCACTCTTGGTCGAAAAACAAAAGGCTTTCCAACATCTTTCACCCTTGGATGTCTAAGCAAAGCTTCAACACCTTCACCCGCAGTTCTAAGGCAAAGGCTTGCCAACATCTTCACTCTTGTTAAGGCAAAGCTTTCCAAATATATGCACTCGGGTCTAAGGGAAAAACTTCCAAATTCACTCTTAGTTTTGGGAAAGTTTTCCCAAAATCTTTATTTGGGCTAAAAACAAGCTTTCCCAAAATCTTCACCCCGGGGCAAGGGAAAGCTTTTAAAAAAACTTCACTCTTGGGCTAAGGCAAAGCTTTCCCAAAATTTAATCGGGGTCTAAGGCAAAGCTTTCCAACACTTCACCTTGGTCTAAGGGAAAAATTTTTCCAACATCTTTACTTTGGTCTAAGGGAAAGCTTTTTAAAACCCCCTTTGGCTAAAGCAAGCTTCCAACTCTTTCCCTTGGGCTAAGGCAAAACTTTCCCCAAAATCTTTCCCCTGGGTCTAGACAAACTTTCCAACATCTTTACTGGGTCAAGGCAAAGTTTTCCCAAAATCTTTACTTTGGTCTAAGCAAAGCTTTTCCAATTCCCCTCTTGGTCTAAGGCAAACTTTTCCCAATATTTCACTCTTGGGCTAGGGAGATTTCCAAAGGTGTCACAACACTTTAGTGTCGGGGGCGTGTGAAAGTGTTCACCAAAAAATTTTTTGTACTTGCATCTCTTAAAGGTTTTGTTTAACCCCTTCTCTGAGGTACTAGAAGGAAATTTCTGTCTTAAAAAATGTTTGTAGAAAAGTGTGAAAGTGGTCACAACGTAAAAAATTGGGGAAAAAGTAGCTTTAAAAAGACAAATGTACAAAAAGACACCCGTTTTGAAGGTGCACGTTTCCCAGTTCTTTTTCAATCATGAGGGTTTTGGGGACCAGATCGTTTCCGGGAAATTTTGGTGGTTGTTGAGGGCACTTTATGACAAAATTGGGAAAATGTCTTCTCTTTTTCCTATCATGAACAATACAGACTTAGGGAAAAACATATTTTTATGTTAATACGAATCAAAATAATTTATCAAACCCCAAAAA